GTGTGTGTGACCCCATAAACGACTTCCCTTAACCTGCTGGTCTGGAAAATCCAACAGTTCATCTATATGTAAAGAAGGCACTTAAACTAAAACTGACATAGCTACGTTAATCCTACCGTAAAACAATAAGACAAGGTACGACCTCTCCCATGCTCCTAGGATGTGGGGGTGAACACCCTGGAATGTTACAGACCTCCTAGGATGAGACATTCTTTCAATATGCCACCAACTATATACTTCTACACACAAATGATTACATGCAGTATTCTACCATATGCAAACTTATATCATTAAAAGATTATACTGATTACTAAGTACAATTTTCCTATTAACACTTAGTTATACTAAGACTCAGAAGATGGGTGCACTGTGGTCATAAGGGCATGGACATAGTCAGGTATGGTGTGGCATTTGAATTATATTCAGGTGGTACTGAGGAGCCCAAAGTGCGCCAGTGAATTATCCCTCCCATATATCCTCGAGTATAATCTGAACTGTTGATACAGGGCAGGATGGATCATGTTGTTTGCACAAAATTCTGACCTCACCATCCAAATGCTGCAGCAGAAATTGAGACTCATTAAACCAGGCAATATTTTGACTGGTTTGATAAACAACCATGTCACATTCAAAGTCACCTTTCTTCCCCATTCCGATGCTCAGTTTGAAAGTCGGCAGCTTGTCTTGCCAATGTTCACATGACTAAATGCTTTGACTTGTTCCCATGTTACTGGCTGGTTAGACACTTACATTACCAAGCAGCTGAAAGGTGTATCTAACAAAGAGTGGGGAATAGACTGCCTCAGGAAAAGTGCTCAGACATATCTTGTCCTCTGTACTAGATAAAAGACTTCATATTTTTTGCACACCAGTTGTATATAATACAATGATAAGCTCTATTAAAGAATCAAATTCTAACTAATGCATCTTTTTTTTAAAAGTTCTTTCACATTACAAGTTCTTTCAAAGTTGGCTCAACACAAACAGCACCACAGAAAATTAGCTGTGCACAGTCTGGCTCTATTATGGAGATAATAATGCAGAATATTTAACTCTGCATCCCTGACCAATTTTTTAGGTGGTCTCTAAGCTTCCTCACCCAGGACGTCTGGGCCAAATAATTAGGATAGTGCAGTATGAGTAAACCCAAGCACACCTGGGTCAGTTTTTACAGCAGTTTTAATTTTGTTTGACTTTATGGAAAAACAAATAAGCAGTGTATATCTCATTAAAGTATCTGTGTCACCGGCTATCTGCCAAAATGCTTCCATTGCAGTTTGGCCCAAGATGAAGGCCTCACAAGCGTCTGTCTTTACAGTAATGCACTGATTAGGCTTTTATTTTATTTTTAGATGCATAAATTGTGAGCTAACAGGACTGATTTCTGATTTGCAATTCTGCTTCATTGTAAGTCCTGGTAAGCTTTCTGTATCAGCTTCTGACAAAATTCAGATCTAGTTGTATGTGCTCTGTTTCTGATGGACAACAAATGATCAACTGATGCTAATGTCTAATTAAAAGTGACCATAGCACGCATGTGGCATTGTGGTAGACAGCTACACATCTCTGTGACTCTGCCTGCTGCATCATGTTGAGTTTAGTTTGGTTTATGAAGCATAATCCAGCAAAACGCCAGCGGGAGTCAGTGGTAGTTTTCCACGGGGGATCTCTGATTCAAATCGAGCATGTTTGTGGCAGGATGATCAACTTCTGTATGAGCTACGCTCTACATTTCCCATTGAGCTGAAAAGAAACGTATGTTTTGAACATATTAAAAGAGTAGCTGAATATAATTAGGCTCTTACAAAATAGTCAGTGTCAAGTATAAAACAGTATGGAACCTGACCCCTGCAATAAACTGCAGTTCCTCAAATGGCCACTTGAGGCCAGCTCCAACAGAGAGTCAATCAGAGCAGAAAGAAGAAGGGTGCGAAAAACAAGTTTGATCTTTCTTTACAGTAATTTGACATTCAGCATGGGTCCCTATGTAGTTAATTATACTAACAACCAATCCAAGAAACCTGTGGTGCAAGTTTTGGTTAATGTGTCACCTGGTGCCACATCGTAATATTTTACTGCTAATAGATTTTATTATTTTATAGTTTTCATGTTTTTATTTTGGTATGATATTTGTATGTTTTCTGAAACTTTTTGGGGGGTTGTCTAACGTCCTTCCAGCATCTACCAAATGAATGCAATGAGGCACACTTGCCCTGTCAACCATGTTTAAAAATGGAGACAGGAGAGCGCCACAACAAAGCAAGGAAAAAAAGATGGGCAAAGGCACCCAGGGCTGGGAGGCCATGGAGTTGTTTTCTTGGGATGAATGCCTGGCACAGAGAAGGAGTGAGCTCTGGCAATAGCAGGAGACTCGGCAAAGAGAGACCAAAGAGACAAGTGAAGATGAGAAGGACCAAGTAAACTTCTGCTATACTGCTGGGAGTGTGCTCTTGAGAGACTGTTGTGGCTTTGGGGTTTTTTTTTCCCATTTTTCAGCTGCCAAGTTTCTTAGGAGATGGATATTTTAGGGCTTTTTTTAAAAAAAGGAAAAAAAATGAAAGGAACATTTTGAAAACACATCAGATCTCAATGGGAAAAAACATGCTGGATGCTATAATGATATGGGGTGGGATGTGTTAGAAACAGAAGGATGCTGCATCATTTGATAGAAATATGATGTATTAACCTATAGAAGGAAATTTCATTGCAGCAACTCAAAATAATACTCAGTAGTTTGTGTGCCCCCCCCCCCCCCCCCCCCCCCCCCCCCCCCCCCCCCCCCCCCCCCCCCCCCCCCCCCCCCCCCCCCCCCCCGTGCTTGTATGGATGCCTGACAATGCGTGGGCATGTTCCTAATGATGTGGTCCTTTGATCTTCTACCAGATCTGGACCACAGCATCACTGAGCTTCCAGATAGTCTGATGCACAACCTGGCAATGTTGGTTGGACGGAAACATAATGTTCCAGATTTGTACTATTGGATTCATGTTAGGCAGGCACAATCAATGGTATAATTCCTTCATTCTCCAGGAACTGCCTGGATACTCTGGCACTAGGAGGAACCCAGCAACTATAGCACCAGCATATGGTCTGACAATAGGTCCCTGACAACAGTCAGGGTGCCGTTGCCTAGCCTGTAGCGGTCTGTGGATCTCTCCATGGATGTGCCTCCCCAGACCATCACTGATCCACAAAAAACTGGGCATGCTGAACAATGACAACATAAAGTTTTCCATTGCTTCTCCAGGCCCTTTCATGACTCTCACATGTGCACAAGGTGAATCTGCTCTCATCTGTGAAAAGCACAGGGCACCAGTGGTGGACCTGCCAATTCTGGTATTTTATGGCAAAGGCCAATCTGCTCCCATAGTATTGAGCAGTGAGCACAGAGCTCATTAGACGACGTCTGGGCCTCTGGCCTCCCTCATGAAAGTTGCTTGTGTTTGTTTGGTTAGAGGCATTCATACCAGTGGCCTGCTAGAGTTCATTTTGTAGTGCTCTGGCACTGTGCATCCTGTTCTACTATAGTTGTGTCTTTAAAGACAGCATTGCTAAGCTTTGTTTCTTTACTTGGTTTCGGCTACTAGACACTGCTCAGCTCACTCTGAGTCAACAAAGGCTTCATCCAACTTTTCTTTCACATATGCATGAGTACACCGCAAATACACCTGTAACCATATGTTGCTTTTCACGATTTATCAGAGCACGTCTCTGACAACATGTTTTACAATGCAGCTCCTAATGCATTATGCAGCAATTAAAAAAAAAATAGCAGGACATGTATATGCCACTCCTCACCTGAGGCGTGAAACATCTGTCACTACTACTACTGACAGATGCCTGCTGTGTTGCATTATGTGCAGTTTATTTGCAAAATCCTAATAATATGCCCGAGGCAGCGGACATGTGCTCTGAAATTGGTACTAAAGTTTTTTTAATGTGATTTTATTGTCATGTGGAGAAGGTGTAAGCTGAATTTTGATGTTGCCTACCTCACTGCGTTGTGTTTTTTTCAAATTTCAGTAAATACGGGGTTTATTTTTCTAACTCAGCGTGAAATTAGTGTTGGAAATGTCTGATTAACTAGCAACATTTAACAGTTTTCTTAATCTTGCATTCATTTTGGATTAAAGGAGCATTTTTGTTAACATCCACCTGACCAAAATGTACTTCCACGGTAATCATTTTCGGATTACTGCAATTAAAAGCTAATTGCTTCTTTCCCAGGTCATTTTGCAGACAAATCTTTACAAAAGATCTAAAATAACTAACCTAAAATCTCTGAATGAGTAGATATATTAAAAAACAACTAGTCCTACATCACGGCTGGTCCTGTGTACACACTGATTAGCATCAAATAATGCAGTTTACTAAAAAAAAGTAAGAGGGGTCCTTTTTTAGAAGAGATTACTGAGTTTCTCACAGGTGCAAAAATAGGAAACTAAGGGGGAAAAGGCTTAGAAAAGCAGGTTTAAACATAAGCTGCTAAAGGTTCAACTAATTGCTTTGCATGCAACACTTTACAGCACGGGCAAGTTCTCGTGGTTGTTTTGCACCACTTGGTAATGAGTCACATGTTCACAAGTTTGTGTTAGGAGCAGCAAGAATGCACCAAGGAACTGAAAGTGGTAAAATTGTTCCCATCAGTTTTCCCTTTCACCAGCCAACAAACACATAAATAGATTCTCTTGGCTTTTAGCTTAACTTCTGATGGAGTGTTTAACCACTGTTTTCGAGCATTCTCCCTAAAAGCGTGCACACAGAAACATCAGGAGCGGATCTATAATCAGGTACTTCCCTACTGTTTTTTGGCAGACTTTGTGAAGTCATTAGTAGCTGCTTTTGTTCAGTGCGGTATCATCATCCTCCTGGCCCACCGAGACAAAATTCTTGCATGAATATTGGTTCAGTATAGCAAGAAGCATGAACTTCATAAAGCAGACTCATGCAGCACAGCTCCTCTATTAGACTTGTCACATTTGCAAAGCTTGATTAATATTTACAGCTTAAACTCAGCGAGAGTACACAACATGCACATTAATTATTGCTAAGTTCTCCAGGCTAGGTTGCTGGAGTCTTGGAAGTTGTTCCATACTGCACTTTAATTGCTGAATACATTATTTTTCATTTGTAACTAAGGGCATGTAGTGTCGAACGGTAGTTGTAATGCAGAGAAAAGCTTCACGCTCGTATCTTCCTCTTATTTAAACAAACCCCCGATACTGTAAACTCAGTACTGCTGCATGCTAATAAGGGTGATGAACAAATGGTCAAGTCAGCAGTAAATGCGCTTGTTTGTACTGTACAGGACGGCGTAGGAATAAAAATTACAAAGAAAAATTGTGTAAAGTATTAAACTTACTGGTACTAGGAATTTCTTTATCTCCTCCAAGGCGTGACTCATGCGGGAATAGGCCTCTCCAGGTGGAGCAAAGACCTCAATTAAAACGTGCAGATCGTTACTCAGATGGGCGTATTTGGCCTCCCCGCTTTTCCTTAATTCTTCTTCCTGTAAAAAATAGAAAAGGAAGGGAAGTTTTTTGTGTTTTTTTTTTTAGAAATTCACCAAATTAATATCTTTAATATAAATGTTTAATTTGAATAAATCAAGGCGCCATTTATCCTCCCTACAGATGCTGCACATCTGTAAACTGCTTTGGAACGCCACCTCCACCCCAGCTCCTCCTTTTCATGCTTTTTATGTCCTATCTATTGTCACTGATCAGTTCTGTGCCGGGGGCTTCCCATCATTCTCCCTGCCTCAAGCTCCTCGTGTATGCAGATGGAAAAGGGCGGGGAGGTGTGCTCTCCCCGCATTATGCTTTCCACGTCTGCACATGCCAGGCGCGAAGGGGGTCCCTGAACAGAGTCATGCCGCCAGATATCATTTACTTCATATTGAAGAATCGTCTTTTTATTGTAGTGGTCTTGACTGAAAGAGCACAATACAAGCTTCGGGTTAACACATAGTAATTGCACTACTGCATAAATTGCTGGATTATCAAAGAGCTGTTTGATTAATTATTAATTTTGATATCAGTTTTTTGTTATGTGTTTATTGCAGATTTCAGGGTGGTTGAGGAGCAGGTGTACTAAGCAGGCAGACAGAGTGAGGTCTCCTGGTGGACAGGTGAGGCATTAACCTTTCAATAAATATTCTGAGATGGAAGAGAAAGGTAATGGATTGCCAGAGGAAAATATCCATCAAAATTAAGTTAAATGGGAAAATGAACAAATGCTTGCTGAAGCTATCACACTGATTTCCATTCTTGCTAGAATTCCAGCTGGATGCTTTTCTAGTAGTCACTTCCCCTATCATTGTTAATATTTGGTAAAAGCTGTGGGATATGGAAGTGAGTTTTTGTCAGCTTATGGAGAAAGTCATGCCAGAGAAATAATAACAACCACTGCTTTAAAGCAACGCAGCACTGCACATTTAGCAAAGATGCAGGGCAAAAAGAAAGAATTTCAGGAGAGAAAGTTCAGTTTGGATAGGGCACACTGCGCTGATCTCAATCTTACATTGTGCACCGAAGTAAACATGTTTTCAATACAGACTCCCACACAAAACTCCTCCAGACTCTGTTCACAGGAGCACCTTTAATTCTTCACCCGGGCCCTGCAGAGACCTGCCTTAGGCTTCACACTGACATTAACGGCTTAAAAGATCTGCAGTATAGCTCGGGGCAAGTGGTAACTGTGTTTTAAAAGGAGCGTTAAATCAATTCCACATTTAACAAATAATCAGAAGTGATGTGAGGCCTTTTTTCTACTTGTACTAGTTACAAACGCAGCGGCTGCATTCTGAACAATGTACAGAATATTCAGTCATGTCAGGATAAAGACTGACTAAGGATTTTTTTTAAACCTGTTTTCATTCATCCTTCGCTGCAACAGTTGGGTATTGAGTGCTTTTCTCAAGGACACCTTGATGGTGGCTGTTAAGAGAAGTGAGAGTGCCACTCATGCACTTTACTTTATCAGCCAATCTGGGGCTTCAAACTTTTGTCCTTGCATCACAGGGCCGATGCCTTCCCTCTGGGAGAAGCCGGCTTTAATTAAAAATTTCTCCCAAGATGTCATCATTTTTCACTTTCTCTGTCAGCGAGCCTAGGTTATTGTGTATCTGATCAAAACATGCATGTGGGCAGACCAATCTGTCTGCAAGCTGGTACAGTAATTTGTCCCTGAAACGCTAGATAGCGTGACTGCCTGCTTAATTGAAGCTATTGTGTGGTTCACTGCTGTAAGGATTATATGTTGTGTATATAAACAATATTCTGTCCTGCCTGCGGTGTTAACCTTGACTACCAGGAAATAGTCTGGAACCAGAGAGGTGAAATAAGGACTTTTCAACTCTATGATTAAGCACCACATAAACTCTTACTTGTACACAAAGTGTAATATTGAGCATATGGTTTAATATTAGCTTGTGAGGTGCTCTTGTGAAAATGTTCCCAGCCTACCCTCCTTACCCTACTGCTGGGCTGATGCTTCTAAATGTGGAACTGGATAAGGTGGCAGAAATGTGTGTAGGCAATGCGCTTTTGAATGTAATAGGGCTTTGGCGGCGTCTGCTCGACACTGCCTTGTGGCCAGATGCCTTGAAAGGCTGCCAGCCTTTCACTCAGGACCTCTGGGAGCCAGTCTCATCACAGAATGCCTCAGACTTGCCTAGACCGTACACAAAATCAATACCCCTCAGATAACACCAAGCAAAATCAGATCATTATGTAGCCATTGTTGGTAAGAGTCAACTGTTAAGAGTCTATTATTGTCCTGTGTGCTGGGTGAATACAGCCGGGGACTTTATAAGGACAAGGACTAGAAAAACAACACGTGTCTTCCTCAAGATGAATTTCCATGTCAGCGACATAGCAGGGGACATAGTGAACATTAAAATTGCCGCTTGCTCAGTATAACAATCTCAGCAAAGCATGCAGGTAAATGAACTGTTATGTTGCTGACAGTTTGACTGTTATTAACATTTTAGTGCCTCTTTACTTAATTTAGCACACCAAAGACAAGTTAATGTAGCACATGAGCAAACTCAATGGACTTAGTGGCAGTAAGCCAAAATTGTAAATGAACTCCTGCACCAGCCAAGGTACATCCAAGAATTAGATGGTGCAAAAAAAATACCCTCATCTCAGTGCCTTCAAAAGGAAGACTTTCCATCTCACCATTAGGTCCATAAAAGGTCACTTTTATTGTATTAATTTCTATTTACAATACAAAGTTTAAACACTTATTACTTAGTCTCAGTTATTCAGTTATATAAATTTTCTGTAACTGATATTTGGTATTATCACACAGAAAATGACTGATTTCATCTATTCTGCAGATAATCTCAATCTATTTGGTCCATTTTTAAAAAAAACGTGTTTGCATGTATAGCATTAATATTGATCTTGGTAAAATAAATATTAATAACTGCATGTGTCTTGTATTAATAATGCTGTTTCCAGACATGTACTGCAGAGCTGAACATATCTAGACATTACCTGACTCGAGGTGCATGTGAGAATCATAACGTCTAACGCAGCCAGACTGGACGTTAGCCTCTCAGCTCTCTAATAAAAACACTGTGTGATGTTAGACTGTGCTGATGTGCGAATAGAGCAGCTAATTGTCTGGTGCATTCATCTCCAGCAGGTGACCATCACGTGTGCACGCTCTATCCTGACAGCTTGTCTAAATCACACTACTGAGTTTTTTTAAAATGGTAGGACTCTGTGTGAAACAGGCTATTTTCTGCTGCGTGTTATCTTAAAAGAAAGTGTGAAAAAAAAATCCAACTTGTTCATGTCTAAAAACAGAAGCTTCTTTAGTTTGGGCATACATGGCTAAGTACATATCAAGATCATCCTAAAACTCCTATACTGAAAATCTAAGGGTCACAGCATAACTTCAGCTGGACATGCTTAAATTATTCTAAGCATCAGTCTGTGTGTATGTAGATGCAAGTATATGATCTAAAGGCTGCGTAATACACGTATTCATAACCTTAATCAGAACAGTTATTAAATGGACTGTATATAATTTACACAGATGAACATTAGAACAGATTTGTTTGAGGGGTTTAAGTCTCTCTGGTCCTGCGATTACGTTATTGATGATAACATAATTACATAATCATATGTAATTAATTAAACATAATTACATTTACTGTTCCAGTGGCATTTATTGGAAGTTCATGTTTTTATCTTTCTGTTAAATATCAACAGAATCCAAATCACTTTTATTGTGTACACACAATAGAAATTGATCTCCCGTTTCTTTGCTGCACTCAATGGACTTAACACAATAGACAAACAGACAATAACAATACGTGTTCTTCTTTGAGGACTTGACAGTATGTATGTAGTATATAGAATATACAACATACAGTATATACAACGTGCTTTTGTAGCAGGTATGGTGGCTGTTTAGTACAGACACCATGTGAGCGATTTAAGTGTTGATCAGAGTGACAGCCTGTGGAAAGAAACTGTCTGGTTGTTTTGGTGCTCAGTGCTCTGCAGCACCAATCAGAGGGGAAGAGTTGGAGGTGGCCGTGTTCAGGGTGTGCTCATTTCCTGATTCTGGATTTTTTTTTTATAAGCCCTGAACGGAGGGCAAGGTGACACTGGTGATTTTTTTCTGCAGTCCTGACTGTCCGTTGTAGTGTGTTCTTGTCCTGCTTTGTGGGTGATCCAAACTAAACAGTGATGTATGTGCTGAAAACCCCTGCTGCTAAGTGCTCCTCCATGTTCACAGGTTGTTCTCTAACTATGCCTGTCTGCTATATGTTCCTGAGGAAGTGCTCTCCAAAGACACTTAAGAACTTGTTTTTGCACATAACTGCGAGCTGCAAACAAAGCTATGGGAATGCTGACAGTGAAAGGAAACAGCAGTGTTGGACAGCCAAACTTTATGCAGCATGCTATAAGCTACACGAGTTCAATAAACCTGAAGAAAGCTGTAAATTCGAATAACAAATGTCTTGTAAAAAAAGAGGGAAAAAAGTGTAAAAAATGAAATCAGTTAAAGCCTCTGTAAAGTTGCTCCAACAGCCTTTGCACTGTTTTGCCCTCAATATGTACTCGATGTATTGAAATGCAGCTCTAGTTTCACCAAAGAGGCGATAAGGCTGAAAGTCTTTTGTCATGTCTGAATGTCTGAATCAGAGGCTACAGTAATAATAGCAATGTAACTCTAGAGCAGCACAGTGCGACCTGTTATGAGCGTGAATACCAGATCCAGCAGGCTGTCTGTGTACACGCTCGGATAAGTTTGGCTCCAGGGGACCACATGTCAGCAGAATAAATGACTTTGGCAAAGAGATTCATTACTTTGCCTTCATAATTGACGATTACAGAATATGCTATTAAACAACACAGAAAAACATTCCCATTTTTCGCCTACATATGTTTGTCAAGTGAAAGCTATTAATTTTATTCTGGGTGTTATTCATCTCAGTTACTGCTCAGATGGTGTTGGTTAAAATATTCCACTGTGCTTTTGGTAGGATTTCAAGAGCTTTGTCTTTGTAAATATTTCTCTTTGATCAGCCAAACAGCTATATCTCAGCACCAATCGATAGACGCCTTACCTTGTCTTTATCTCTCATGGACCCTTTGCCAAGGATGGACATCTTCACTCCTGTCTCCTCTTGTAATCGTTTCATAGAATTTCCCCGTGGTCCCAGCAGCTTCCCTACAAAATTAAACTATGCAAGAGGAGAATAATGGCAATGAGAGACCTTATCAGAGTGTCCTGCATACCTAAGAAGAGAATTAATAGTTAAAAAGCTGATTTATATTTCCATATAACTGTTTTCTAAGCATCCTCTCTTTTTACGTGCTGCATGTAAAAGGGATTTGATCTTTTCAGAGAAAAGGTTAACCATGAAAGATCACCGCTGGCCATTAGTTATCTATTATCGATATAACCTCACATTCCACTGATCATTTATCATGTGAGAAAAAGCTGAAATGTAGCCTGTAATAAATCAATATAATGGTGCTCTGTGTGTAGCACATTAAAGGTAAATGCAACTCTCATCTTCATTCCAGCATATGTGTCTGTCCTGTGCTTGCTCCATGCCCTCGATAGTCATGCGTCTTAGTGGCGTTTAGGGTCATCGAAGTCATGCTAAGAGAAAGGAAACGAATGGGAACATGGACTCAAACCAATAATATTCCTGAGACTGTTCCAGAGGTCAGTGCTGAGATAAAGTCAGAAATAATGACTTTCTTCCCAGTGGGAAATTAAGTAATACTATCCTGATGACAAACTATTAGATTAAAGCCTTGGGGCTATCATTTCCCTCTCACTGTGCACCAGCTAGTGTTCATACTGAGAAAAGTAACTCTGGGTAGCCACAACACTGCTGAGATTACCAGTTATTAAAAGGTAAAACTCATAACGCGACTGCAGTGAGTCTGGCAGTTTTTGAAAACATGGGCGGGGATGGCTTAATTGATTTCTACTTGAAATAAATGACTATTAACACTACTTAACACAATTTTTAATTGTTAAAAAACCCAGCTTCGACTTTCAAATGTTTCCTGTTAGGTGAGATTAAAAGTAGACCACCTCCGGAGTTGAACAGGTGGTCAGCCGCCTACTGCAACACACTCTGTCCAGCCCTAAAATGACATTAACCTTTTCACAAAGCAGGTTCTCCTACTGTGAGAAGAGCTCATAACCTTACTGCCAGCTGTGTGCGGCTGCTGCAACGCAACTCCAATAACTGCTCGCTCAGCTTATTCAACCTAAAGTGTCCCGTCAATTTATGAAACAGACACTAATTTTCCGTCTATCTTGTGCCGGGCTGACTTATTTTAATGAACATCATTAACACCACAAGTGAATGCCACAACCAGGATTTTGAGGCGCCAGGGGATGTGTATATGAAGAAAAAAAAATCTGCTGTCCTTGCCTGTCCTCTGATCTGAATGATTAAGGCGCCTTTGTGGATGCCTTTCTTCAGCTGCTTTGACAGGACTATCCTATAGCTGGCAGGGAGTTGGAGAGCAGATGGTCGTTGTGGCTACATCGGGAAGCCGCTCGCTGGGTGGTAGGAGAAGAGTGGCCTGTTTTCATTAAGCTAATGAATGTCTGGAGCCATTCTGCTGCTCCATGGTGAGCAATTTGAGCTTCGGAAAGGGGTATGGTTCAGTGTTAAATGAGGTTTGAAATGATTCTATATACCCCCTATAGTCTTAACACTGATAAGTGTGCAGATATTAGAAGGAAGGGTGTTGTGCATGCAACAATTAAGCGCAAAGACATTTTAAACATTGAACAAATACTCGATGATAAAATGGCTGGAATGAAACCCTTGTTTGTACTGTATGCTGTATTGCACACTCTGGGTCTTCTTTTTCTTTTCTTCTGAAAACCAAATTTTAATGTTTTGGTCTCCATACTGATTCTAAAATACGAAGCTCTGCACTGTGTAACCTTACAAGTTCACAGGGTATAACGAAAAAGGTGAAGATTGAGTTGGACACAGCTTACAAATGTAGCTGAATAAAGCACTTTTCAAAAGCACCTCAGTGTGTCTGTTTCGTGGTTGTGCTTCCTTCAGTGGCCTGCATCTGCAAACAAACAGTCTGAAGACACGTGTGTAGCATTGTTTTTTAACTGGTTTGCCTTTTGTAATGGCATCTCAGTATTTGCAGCATGTTTCATTGTGTTGCAAATGCGCTGTCAAACTGATGAATGTACGTCTCAGCCGTCTTGTGTTTTGCCTATTTGCATACATTTTTCTAAAGGAGAACTCCATCAAGAATTAATCCAACAGAGGTGTGTGAGCAAACAACAAAGTTCTGTGTGGCTCCAGAAGGTGCTGCGTGAGGCTACAGTTAATAAGGCACCTCACTAGAGGTCCCCGTGGTTTTTTAGGCTGTCCATCAATGCTACACGGGTGCGATGCTACATTGGTGGGTAAGTCTTAAGCTGCGCTCTCAAAGCTAGGACACCCTGCAGGCACAGGTAATCCCCACAGTAATATATGTAATACACATCAGTTCTTCCTTTCCCAGTTTTATAAACAAGATCATCCCAGCTTCAGCTTCTGTACCGTATGTTCCTAAACTCCAACTTTTATTTTAAAGATGTCAGTAAACACAGATGTTTCTGTGTTAAATGATTTAAAAAATGTTGACACAACAAGAAATGCCTGTGAGTTTTCATTTTAAAAAAGGTGTTATTTTCTGTTCACACTTTTTGGTTGTTGTGTTTGCATTCACACCAAATGTGAAAGCTGCCTTCATCAGTGACTGAGACCTGACATTGGATTCTTCGTCACCTTTGCAGACTTGTAAATCAAAGGATGAAAATGTGTGAACCAAGAGTGATCCCAAACATGGAAAACTTGGAAGCAACGGGGAATTATATGCACTGTATTAGTTTAATCCTGGTGAGCTGCACAACTTAATGTCTCCAGCTTGACAACTACCAAATCCTGTAGAAAAGGTTTTGTAATTTTAAAGCATCACATTTAAATGAATGAATGAGTGAATGAATGAATTAGAAGGTCTGATTATATGGGGAATACCACATATGTACATTATTCATAACAATACTGCCACTGTTGTCTATAAGGGGCTGGACTGATTTGGTGAAATCACTCCTGCTGGCTTTTGCCTTTTATGTTTTGTTTTTTTTATGACGTCCTATGTTTCCTACAATGCTGAGATCTTTGTACACTTAAAACAGACCCATTTGTGAGTGCAGACCAAAGGTCTTTTTTCCATACATTCAAAAAATAATGACACTTTGAAAATACATTACAAGTTCATTTTTATGCTCCTAAATTTAAAGTAAAAATGTGATTATATGAGAAAAGCTAAATAAAAGGCAAACATCAAAGGAGGCACTCAGCGCCCTCCTGATGTTTCCCCTCATATTTATTTATTAATTTTATATATTTTTAAGTGCTAAAGCAGCTTGTTTCCATTCTTCAGTATAAGGTCAGTTCCAAGGGAAGAATACTGACATTTTGCACCTTGTCGAACCACTGTGGCATTGCATATCTAATAACAAAACAACTTTTTAGCTTTCAGGTTGGAAAATTTGTTGCCCTTTTATGCAGTGCACTGGGGCCAGTCAAGATCAGCAGATGTCCTGAGGGCACTCACTGCCAGGTTAGTGAGCTGTGGTACTGGGGAAGTCCAGGTCCTCTCTGATAGGAGGATTAAAGCTTTAGGTAGAGGTTTATGCTTTAATGACAGCTTGGGATGACTGGGCTGCGAGCGTGTCAGATGAGTGTGTCCTATCAGCCCCACGGACATTAAAGGAAGCAGATGAGTGGTTGTTTGGGGAGCAGTGTGGCAAGGGGAGGACACCTGGTGAGCTTTTCAGAAGGGCAACACAGTCAAAAGCCAGACGTGTTGAACAGAGGTTGTCTGTAAATGTTAATGCTAATCAGTCATTTCTGTCGTGTATCTACAACTTTTGTCTAAAAAATGAAGAAAAAAAGAAAAAACAAAGATACAGACCGTCTTTAGGTGACATGAGACATGTGATACAAGTCATACTTCAAGCTGGATTTTCTAAATATTTACAGTGAAATACTTGGAATAGTTCATCAAAATAGAAATGCAATATTTTCCATTCATATATATAAATTCTGGAATGTGAAATAAACAACATGCTGCGATCTAAAAGACAGCTGAGAAACAAAGTCATTGACATCTAACTGTGTGGAAAGGGTTACAAAGTCATTTCTAAAGCTTTGAGGACTCCAGAGAACCACAGTGAGAGCCATTATCCACAAATGGAAAACAACTGGAACAGTGGTAAAGCTTCCCAGGAGTTGCCGGCCTACCAAAATTAATCCAAGAGTGCACTGACGACCGTCAAACATGGTGGTGGTAGCATGATGGTGTGGGGCTGGACGACTTGCTGTTATTGATGGAACCATGAATTCTGCTCTCTACCTCAAAATCCTGAAGGACAACTTCCAGCTATCAGTTTGTGCCCTGCACAATGATACAAAACATACCAGCAAGTCTATTCTGAATGGCTAAAAATTGAATTATGACTGAATTATGACAATACTCCAAAGAAAAGTGGTCCAAAATGCCTCCACAGCAATATGAGACTTAAGTCACTGTAAAAGCTTGGTTACAGTTCTTGTTGGTAAAATGAGTTATTATTTTAATGAGGGAAATTACTTATTCACATAGGGTCACATAGATGTGGATAGGTTTTTCCCTTAGTAAACGAAAAGCTAATTTAAAGGCTTTATTTTAAATTTACTCGGGTTAATTTTGTTTAATAATAACATATCTGTGATGAACTGAAACATTTAAGTGTGACAAATATGCAAAAAACCTAAGGAAGAGGGAAAGAACAAAGACTAACAAGTTCACACAAACCCAGCTCCCTTCTCGCAAGTCTATAACAGCTCCATGGCTTTTAAATAAGAAATACAAGTTGTTCTCTAAAGCTTAGTTTAGAATAAAGTGTGGAGGTTTCTTAAAATGAGAATAACATCCAGTTCATTTAAAATTCACAGTGTATTGAAGTGAAAACAAGAGAAAGACAAGTTTTTACTACTAATTAAATGTTAACTATTTAACATTACAAAGCTTTTCTGGTCTTTTGCAGCTGAAATAAAAAATTACCTTATAAATGATCTGTTACTAAAACTGTAGTTTTGTAGTATCATCAGTTAAACTGAAATAATTTGCAAACCACTGCATTCTGTTTTTA